CGTTTCAACTCAATCAAAACTTTGTATTCTAATTGTTTTTTGAGGTGTATTACTTATCTCCAATACTGTCATAGTGAACATTATTTGTGTTTCACACATAATGAACTCTCGAGTCTAAGGAACACGTTTCATTCGCAATAAATTCCAAATAATCCATAGTTTATCTGATTGACAGCCACATTATTAGTGATAAATTGTGTTTTTCTCCTTATTGAACTTTTACGCTTGAATCAATGCTCAATGAAATGGAAAAGTTCACGTTAGTGCGTAAATTATCGTTCAGGATTAATAATAAATAAAAATATTTCTTAATAAAAGAGTTCTTTAATTCATTCCGATGTCAAACTCCTTAGGACAGACCTTATTCGGTATTTTTCAGTGTTAATTGAAGAATATTTATTTTAACTGATAACACATTTGCAGAGGCCCATTATATGAAAAAGGAATGCACCTGACGAAGTCGTCGAAAAGACGCAGGTAGTTAAAGGCGCAGCAGTAACCTTCCATGGTCTTGCGGGTGGTGAAAAGTTTGTGGCAAGGTTCCTGGCGGCCCGCCCACATACAGCGCACCAAGAGCTGCTCACAACTCGGGTTCAGCTGCGGAAATAAAATATATTTTAAGGACAACGGATTCTGGCAATACGACTATGTAATATGAAAACAAGGGTTATTAAATATCAAGAAATTTTAAACAAATTGAAAGATAAAGGTGATTCGAGTGATTCAAGTAATTCGCTGTGAAAGTATTATTCTCGGAACCTACCGTTAACATAATGTGCGTAATATTGTAGGCCTCTTCAAAAGTAGATTGTAGCATCTTATGGAGTGTGAGAAAGTGTTGATGTCCTTCAACATCATGATCGTAGAGACGGCCCAAATAACGTACAAGAAACAGTGTCTCGTTTACAGGAACCTTAGTTACCAGTGACCTACACATTAATAAGGCAAATAACTTGTGATCATAAACTGAAAATTCATACCTGTACTTAGAACAATAGGATTTGACGGCAAACTTCTTTATGTTTAGTATGTATTTATACTACAAAAGTAGTATATATTCGTATGTACTCGAGATAGTAAACTGGTATGTGCTACAACAGCACACACTTTGTCACATTATTTCTAAATTTGCAATTATTGAAAATTTAGAGTTCTACTAGAATGAGAACTGTGCCATTCTTTTAAGCATTCCTTGTTTTGTTCGTGGGGGGAGATTAAAGACGAAAATTGAAGCGTTTTTTGAGATAATGAATTTTTAACAAACTGCATTAATTTCAATCTCAAATTACGCTAAAACTATTCGTTTCTGCTAAAACTTGTTCATAATCTTTTTTAAATAGATTATTTTTTTGAAACAGATTTTGTCACGGCGAGAATCTCTATCTTCAAATTTGCAGTTCTGCAATGTTAATTTTTTTGCTGTCATTTCGGACAATAGTTTGTCGGAAATGAGACTAGCGCCGATTTTTTACCGTACTTTCATACATACGAGGAAAAAGTGTTTTTGAAAAATTGGATCCTTTTGGCATAAGATGTTTCATAAAAGTTAAAATTGCCTATTTCACACAAAATTATGCAAAAACGATTCAGATTTTCGAACAATTGTACTTGATCCTATTCCAACATCTGTCTATAAAGAATAGATTTCATTTAAAATATCCCTAAGTTCAATATTGTAATTGTAGGCAGACACCAAAAAAATTGAGCTTTTGCAACTTTCCAATTGGGCCTTATTACATTCAATCAATAAGGTCAAATGTGCCTCCATGTGCTTATATTGAGTACTCACAGTTATCCGCTTCTTCATCGAAGGCACTATATAAGGTTTCAGAGATGGGATAAAACCATCTACAGGATGTACATTTCTGTATGTTGTTTAATAAAACGTTTTGTGGATTTATCCCAGCTCTATATTTTTTTCATTTCCCAAAATATCAAGAATTTCAATGAAAATGAGACATTTACCAATTTCTTAAGCTCATTCACGCTATAGGGCTTTAATAAAAGTTGAATAAGATTAATAAAAAATTGGAGCCATTTTTGAAAAAAAATTGGAAATGTTGAACTTCATGTAAAGTACCCACAAAAATCCAAATATCCATTTCAATCTCAGAGAACCTCGAATTATTTTAAAGTGATCCAGAAATTCAAATTTGAAGAAAATAAGCTGAACCGTTTGCGATAGTTTTGACCACACACGGACAGACTGTCGGACAGGCAATCGGACTGATTGACGGCCGGATGTTTTATAGTCAATACATTTTTCGGTATCAAGGTCCCACAAAACATGGATTCTGACTACACAACGTGGTAGAAGAAGTACTATGCTATATGCAGGAACAAAATTTAGCCACTTTTTCTTTACAAGACCCGACAATAAGAGTTTATCTGTTTAAAATACACCGTTTTCCGGTGTCTGACTACAATACTCTCTTCTTACGAAATAAGAGCGCGAAAGTAAGAAGTACCAACTTATGACAACTATACTTCGGTTTCTATAATATGGCGTGCGAAGGCCTGTCCATACCGAAGACATTGCAATAGGTCTACACGATCTCACGGCGCCTTGGTTTTGCTGCTAGATGACTCTAGACACTGATGATACTGTCCCGATCCTGCGACAACTAGCGTCACGACTGATAAAGACGCGAAATGCCGTGAGATATTCCATCGTGAAGACAGGCCTTCGCGAGCCACATTATAAAAACCGAAGTGCCATATATCCCCGGTTTCCCTTATTATTTGCAGGTTTTCGAGTAGTAAGTACAAGATTCAAGTAAGAGATGAACGTTATTTAAGAAGACTCAACAATATAGATCTCTAATACGAACTGCAAATTGAAGAAAATGTAATTCAAAATAAATTTTTATGAATATAATTGATCATATTTTTAGAAACACCAATCGGGAAACATTCCGTAATCATTAACATGATATGCCCGATGCAATTATACTAGATAATCACGATCTGGAAGGTCTCTAGGATAACCTGATGACATTTTCTCTGCACTGCAGACGCGACATTAACTTGAACAGCATCGGTTATCAATAAATATTACGCCTTAACTTACTTGATCGCAGGCTGAGAATATGAGGTCCGGCTAGTACTGTAGCATATGATGCGTGTTTTCACACTTCCTGCATCATGGGCTGTATTGTAACATAAATTGATAATCGTGGAAAGGAAATCAAACTGCGACGGCCACGAATTGTTCAACGTGACGGTCGTGAGGGTTTAAAGACTGACTTCGGAGCAAAGGCGCACTAGGCGGAACACCTGATCTCCCAGAACAATTGTACAAGGAAAAGGGAAGTTGGCAAGGTGTGGCAGCAAGAACGCTTTTCTTCATTTTCATGGAAAAAATATCAACTCATATTACGAGCCAAATGACGAGTGGCACGCAATGAAATCTTTTGAGGTTACACATTGCGAAAACGTTGCAGGAAACGTTACTTTCCAAATAGGAAAATTTGTTGAGTGAATGTTGGTGACGGTTGACATCGTCAGCAATGTTGTGCTGGGAGTATCAATTTCATTAATGACCGTTCAAGATTCTTTACTTTGACTCCTCATACAAATCCATACCTTTTGGAAGTATTGTAAGCAAGGAGTCGTTTGTGACCAACAAAGACTTCAATTGACTCGTGCCATGATGAGGACTGCCTACAGAGATTAGTCCTGTTTCTGATTGAACCGATCTGGTATCCTTGTCCCCATTTGGTGCAAACACCACAAGGTCGCCGTTATTATTCCGCAAGACCTGAATGGGACATTGATGTCGGAATCATGAGTTGGTGTTGGCCAGCAAACAGTGTTGGTAGTGATGACCAACAAACCCACGGCGTGATGTCACCCGGACAGGAAAGAGCAAACGTGGTTTTAAGAGAATTTCCCAGGACTATTACCAAAGATATGAGTCGTTGTATTACAAACATTGAGTAATGCATGATCAGTTAGCTAAAAATTTGGCCCCACATCCCCATTTAGAGGTTGCACTCAATTTCAAGCTTTATCGCCAGCCGAGAGAACACCCGCTATTCAATTGTCGCAAGAACACGCTGCCTTAGATTCCACGTTCAGTAGATGTGTAAGCAGTTGAACACGGACACTTATAGAATCTTCGCCAACGTCTATCGACCGTAATGCTAACAAAATGAAAGCAACTTTTTATAAAATAATTTTTAACAATTGAGTCGTACAAAGAGATAAATATACAAGGAAAAGATAAGTTGGCAAGGTGGAGCAGCAGGAACGCTTTTCTTACTTTTCATGGGAAAAAAATCAACTCACATGTTACGAGCCAAATCACGAGCGGCACGCAATGAAATTTTGTTAAGGTTACACACGGCGACAGCGGGAAACGGTACTTTCCAAATAGGAAAATTTGTTGAGTCAACGGTGGTGACGGTTGGCGTCGTCAGGAATTCGTTCCACACGTCCGTGATAATGAGTACCACGCCCCATACGGCCAGTATGTGCACAACCAGCCAAACTAACCTGTGAAATATAATGAATTTTCATTGTCATTAGATGCGTAAAAGCTCCCTTGGAGGAGAACATTAAGAAAGAGCAAAGCCCTCTTTTGGACCAAGAAAATGGAAGGGATTGACCAACATAAAATAAAGACATTAGTCGGGAAAAACAGGATAAGGCTTTAGAGATAGGAAGGCAAGTAGGAAAGTAAATAGCAAAAAATATCAGTAAAACTAGAAGAAAATAAGATTAGAACACAGATTATTTTGCAGAGAAGAACAAAATAAGAAAGATAATTCTTGAAAGGACTCTAGAACTGATATCAAGGATGGATCGATTTTCTAGTTTTGGTGAACTTGCGAGAAAAGGTAGTCCCTATCACGCATAAAAGAGAATAGATTAAAGGTAGATGAGGACGGAGAAGTACATAGTTTATCTTAGATACGAGAACATTATTCACTATTTTAGTGATTTGTGTGGGGAATTTCTATGGGGAATTGTGATAATATATTGTTACTCTTTTTCAGTGGAGCTACCAAGATTTCTTTCTGTGTAGTGATGCCTCTCAGTTCTATAAGAGTAGGTTTTGTTTTCTTATAAAATTTTTTTCATTGATGCTATTGATGCATCAATTGAGATATTGAATGACTTTCGTTACTGTAGAAAAATCAGTGAAAGCTATATTTGTGACTTCTGAAAGAGGGACTGAAACCCCATGAGCCCCCCTGCCCCCTCATTTTGGGTGCACCACTGACATTTTGTGATGTATATGTAAGGTGTTCCATCCTCATTGAGTACAGTATTATGCTATTTAATAACTATATGAAATGTGATTGTGGAAGGTATCTTCAAATGAAATATATTTTGTATATGTAAAGTATTGTTTAACAAGTCTGCTTCTGGGTCACAAGAACATAAAGTCCAGATTCTTCATTTACACTTTAAAATAAAAGCATCACTGGACACAAGTTGATGGGCTTTCAACCCAGACTCTAAAATATTAGTTTTAAAAGGAGAAAATATCAAAGGTGGAGAAGACACGTCGAACTAAAGGACTTCAATGAGTGTCAGTTATGTGATTTAAATGCGTTTTCGCTAGTTCTTCCAATCACATTAATTATATTAATTTTTCAAAGTAACATAAAAATCATTAAACACATACAGTTTGTGAATTGTAATTGTTTTCATCTTTTCCATCAAAATCAAATATTGTAGTTAATTCCTTTGAATAACTATTTTGCAATATATTCAAGTGAGTCGTTAAAGATTACATAAAATCCGGAAACACAACTATGTGAAAATGACACGTATTGTAACATTTGCTTCCTTAATGAAATTTCACCACTTGCCTCAATATTAATAACAAAATTGCCTTTGTAAATCCAACCTCAAATTTCTCTTTTTAAATAAAGCAACACTGACCGTTCAAACCAATGACGGCCGGGTTCTGCGAGGTAGCGGTAGCCGTGCAGGCTAGCGGAGAGCAGGTACTCCTCCACGACCGCCTTGACGACGTCGATCCAGCGTTCGTCGAGCGGCGGCGCCTCGCGCGGCAGCCCCGCGCGCCTGCCCTCCATCTTCTCCCGCGCGCCGCGCGCCGCCCCACGACGCGGCTTCCCGCCATCGATCGCCCCCGCATCCGGTGATCGAATCGCCGATGGCGGCTCCCCGCCGTCAGGAGCAAACACACCACGCACTGTCAACATTCGAGTCGATTTGTTCTCTTTAACACGTGCATTTCGTGATTGCATCTTCACATCCAGAAAGGTTATCTAAAGAATCCTCGTTGATCTAGATAAGACTGGCTCCCATGCTCACGTTGCTGAATTTTCCTCTTCGTTTCTCCGAGCGGACGATACGAATCGTGCTGTACTGTGCACCCCTACTGGATATTTTAATTAGGAAAAAAGAATCTCGGTTTCGGCTACCCTAGAAAAGGTACCCTTAATACGAAGAAAGAACTTGTAAAATCAAAGCAGTTCCAAAAGGGTAAAATATGTGCAATTCATAATAATAACACTAATAAATATAATCATACAAAAATAATAATAATATAATCGTACAATAATAATAATTACTTTAATTAATTACACTATCCTGCGAATTTAAACTTTTGTTTGTTGCCTAAAGTAAAAAAGTGTGATTTTATATAATGTGGATATGCCGAATACGAATATTCAATCCGTTTCCTTCTATTACGCAAGGTTTTCTTGAGAAATCATTTTACTTGTACAATTACGCGAATTTCACCACAAGCTCTTTCATAATACTTTCATTATTTTAAAGAAAAAAACAATATTTAACACAACTTTTATGAAATTAACATGTACGTTTGTTAATACATGTCACTAGAATGTTTTTGCTTTCTTTTGTCTTGTTTACTTAATTATTGGATAATTGCACATACATTTTAACAGCCGTTGCTTCTCACTTTAGAAAGGCCTTATGTTCATCGTCCTTTAATGTTTGTCTTTAGGTATTTCAAGCTTTATCCAACAACGGTCTGCAAGCATACTGATGCTCCACCGCCCCTCGCACGTCCTTTCGAACTCCCTCATATCTTATGAAATCGTTTGCCTTGTTCTTCGCTTAAAAATCCTAGATTTTCAGAGAAATAATCTAGGCGAGAAAATGAATTTTCATACACGTGTTACATGCAAGTTCCTTATACTCTTTAAGCATGTTAACAATGTTTCAGTAATTGTGATGCTTGATATTACCGAGACATTTTGAAGCAACATTTGTGAAAAATATCCACGCCGCACAGAAAGATATCCTCTCTTTCATCTTGTTTTTAAATGCTGCATCGGACCACAATTTTCATATATCAGAATCATTAAATATATCCTCTTTTAATTTTGCTTTAGATAATATTGGGAATTTCTACTCTACAGTGGGGTGCCCAAGGATTAATTTGGTCTCAAGTTTGATTCCAAAATAGGCAAGTTACATTTTTTTACAAAATCTGTAATATTATACATCTGCATAGGCAATGTGTATTTCCTACTGTAACCGCTAAAGTTGAGTTACATAGACGAAATGTTGGAAAAGCTTCATCTTACATCCACCAGAGAGAGAGAGGTTGTAAGAAATTATAAGAACTATTGGAGATAACACCACGAGTAAAGAATAAATTTGTGAAAGAATTCGTTTAAATAAAAGAATAACAACCATTTCAAACTAGCATGAACTACGGAGAAAATTTGTTAAATGAGTAACCTAAACTCTGCCATTTTTGCTAAAGCGTTGGAAGGAGAACATTGGTTACCACGGGGATCTGCAGAGAGGTCGAGAGAGATTGATCCAGTAACGAAAACTGAAGGAGCTTATTAAAAGGAATGCTTTACAATCAAAATGGAATCAATTGAGATGTGGAATATACAGAAATTTGAATACTGTGCGATATTTGATTAAACGACTATACTAATAACGGCCAGAAACTATACGATTTTCGCTACGGATATCTAGTATTCTGCGAGCATTTGGGATACGTAATAGAATTAAATCTAAATGAAGAATGTTTCTTTCTATTTCTGCTTTCATAATTTTCGCTCTTTCATTATTCACTTTATTATTGGATTATTTCATTATATATCATATATATTTATATATATTTTCATATTCATTTCTTTATTTCACTTGATAATTATTGGATTTGCATCTTATTCGTTCGGTTCACTTGGTAAATTTTATACTTTGGACGAAATAAGTAGTAAAATCGTATTGCTTGTCAGTTGAACCCCAAATGCAGTAAAGAACTCTAATCAAGAAAACGAAGAATGGAAATCTTTTCGACGCATCAGTACGAACGCGATTGGCGACAGCGAAGAGACCCTGCCAGTTACATAAGTGGAAATAGCAAACCGGTAAATTTTTTATCCCGATCGATTCCGCTTTAGACAGATTTTACTGTATATAAAAATCAGAGGGAGATTAGTGATACAAAATATATCAAAAAGTGGGCTGGATCATCAAAGAGTGGCTATTTACATAGGAGAAATGCAAGGGTGCACGTGACGTCGCTCTAACTTCCTAATCGCAACCCATATCAGATAAGATACATTTGGTTCACTCGGTGACACTTCCTATCCTTTAGTATTACTGATTCAGTATTTCAAACCATAATTTGCTGATCAACTCCTTGTAATATTTATTTTACGATTCAATTGTATGTATTAATATCAATGCTTTCATTTATTCCTAAGTGATGGTTACACCCCCTCCCTCCCAAATAATTAGCTTTCAGCCATACGAGCCTCGTAGCTCTCTCTGTGAGTGATTCTTCTTTCAGGTAAGAAAAATGTTAGTGAATGATGGAGGGGATTGATATTCCAAAAGGTCACACGACTGACAATTCAGTCTGCTGCTGCATTTCACCTCCGCCTTAACTTAAGTTGCAAGTTGCAACCTGCAAGTTGACTGTCGTCCGATGGCAAGTTAAACTGAAATAAATTTGTATTGAATTTATTAAAATATAATACTGTAAATAATAAAATTATAAAACCCACAGTGGCGATCAGGTGGCCGAGATCGCTAAGGCAGTGGTGTCGTAGCGATCTCAGACTGAAGGATCGCGGGTTCGAGTCCTTCCTCGGGCACGGTAGTATTGTGTTCGTCCTTTCATCCCTTGTCATCATCATATCCTGGCATCCTGCGTTACAAGCAATTGTGGTCGCTACTGACATATAAGTTGATGCGACCTCAAAACAAATGTCAAAAAAACTCACAATTTCTCAGACTGATACAAAAAATAACACAACTAATTAATATAAATATTTGATACTTCTGTTACTTTAAACTTTATATTTAGCTACTGCCAAACTATGACAAACATTAATGCTCTATTATATCTTTCTTACTAATACTGAGAATTGTTCACTCAAACTATATCAGAATATAGTTTCTGGCAATATTTTCTGATATGATTTAAAAGGTATATTAACAACTTCAAACTAACTTTAAAATAATACTTAATAAAACCATTATTTAATTATTTACTAGCAATTCAGCAACACTTTAAAATATTTTTACATCAAATAATTGATGCAGAATGCGAGCAGCTACGTATACACTGTTTGTAGAAAATCGGCTGAACCATTTAGGAGCTAGCGTTGATCATTGGCGAACAGACAGTCCTTCTGCCGTCAATCGACTTTCGATATCAAGAACACATAAAAATGGATTCTGTGTACACAACGTGTTAAAGTAATTTACTATGTATATTAAGGTGCAACATTCGTCCACTTTTTCGTTATCAGGGTCCAGCAATAAATGCTTTTCTGTCGAAAATTCGTCAGCGCACGGTTTTCCAGCGCACGATTGCAATACTTCCTCTTCTTACATAGGATGAGAAGTAAAACAGGTTTTGTGTTTGCGAAATGATTTTAATTAGTTTTTAGTTAGTTTATGATTATATCTATTCTGTACAGGAGAAAAACTGAAATAAGACAGAGCATTCAAGTCATTAAAATTTTAAAAAATATATATATCACTGTTCATCATATTTTAATTTCTGAGTCCAAGTGGAAACATGCGCATTTTGGTAAGGTTGTTATT